ATAATTAAGCTTTCTCCTTTTTTTTTCATTTTTCCATATTGCCATTGTTAATTTTTTTTAAAAAAAAATTAGGACAAACTAAGGGTTATCAAACATGCCTTTAACTTCACTTTTTTCTTGTTTTTTCTTTTTCAAGTTTTAGCCAAAAGAAAATGTGGCATACTATTAATTTGGGGCCAAAAAGTCAGTCGGAAGGTGGGGCCTCATTTGCAACCGTTTGAATGGTTGACCAACAACTGAAATAGGTTATTCTAAGAGCATCTGCAATGTGCTCCTAAACCCCTTAGAAATTTATGAAGGAATTGGAAAACTACAACTCCAACCATGCTCCCTAACCATCTCCTAAAATATGGAGATCTCTAGGAGCTCCTAAAATATGAAGATCTCTAGGAGCTCCTAAATTTTAGGAGAGAGAAAGGACTCCTAGTGTCTCCCTATAATTTAATGTTGCTTTGTTTTATGAATATTTTACCCTTTTAATTAATGCTAATAAATTCTTTTTATACAGATGGACCATTTATATTGAATTAAAACATAATTATAGTATTTATGACTCCCTAAACTATGAAGTATGATTGAAGTTCAAATTTTATAGAGAGCTCCTAAAATAGCTTTTATGGAGTTTTAGCTAAATTTTTAGTAAAAATTAGTGAGCATGATTGTAGATGCTCTAACAGTAGGAGAAACTAAATTCCAATGAAGTGTGTTGTGAATGTGACCATTCAAATGATTGGGTTACTGTTCATATGGTGGAACAGTGTTTTGGCCCTAAACTAATTACTTATTTCCTAATATTGGCTAAAACTAATTTGAAAGTAACAAAAAAAACTTTTTTCTTACCCTATACAATCATCAACTTTATCTTTGTCTTCAATGAATCAAGTCAACCACATAGTTTCCTTCTTCAATATAAGTTAACTAATATGTCAATAAATGTGATACATATAGTATTATTAATATGTAATAAATGTGATACAAGTAATATTATTGTTCTTCTATACTAGTTTAATTGTATTATACATTTCATCTAAATAGAGATGGAAATTTTGCAAACTACACAATGATACTATTTGGGCCTAAATTATGCGCGCTAGCCCAACTGACTATTAGCCCATATCAAAAACAGTGGCTTGGGCTTTGTGTTACCAAAATCAGAAGTCAACCTAGATGGGTTTAGAGGCCCAGACCTTTGTGAACCATTTGCAAGGAATAAATTTACAGATGAAAGATTAATTGCCAATAATGGTGATTTAATATGAGAAAAATCAGTTTTAATTGGTCTAAGTCTAAACCCAGCTTCTAGGTCTCTCCAAAGGTTCAAAATTTGATCATCACCGTTGATCACAATTTCAAAGATCAATCAGTAGATTCTTGGGGAAGATCTTTCTCTCAAAAAGCCCACGTGACTCTAAAGTCAAAATTACAATAGGGCAGAGGACGTGATGGGGAGTTGGTAAAAGGTTTAATCGGAAAACCACTCCCCATAACCATTTAATGCCAGAAAAGAAGGCCAATTTTCTTTCCTAGGCTCGTGAGGGTTTTGCATCAGGTCAAGTGGGTTTGCAAGAGATAAACAAGAGATAAGAGAGTTGGTTGACAGAAGATCAAAACTGATCATAAAAAAAACTTACTTTTGATGGGGGTTTTCCTTTGTCAGACTAAGCCACTATCCCTTTTTCGCACTGGAACAAGGAATCCTTTCAAATAATTCATCCTCCAGATATTAAGGAATAAAACCTCAATCAGATTCTCTATAAATATGAGAGGGAGTGAATAGGATAGAGGGCAACCAAAAATTCAATCAAAACAAAAATTCTCAAGTTATACTGACAAACTCAAATAAGATCATACGATCTCGAAAGCCTTTAGACTATGAAGAAACCAAGCTCTTTAATTTGTAAAAGACATCCAGTCTTTGACAGAACAGGCAGAACTCAGGTTTCTGACTTCACTTCAACTCAATCCAGGGAGGCAGTTCACAAAGGAAACAAGATTTCTCTCATTACAAATTTGGTTCAGCATAAGCCAATCAAGCAAAATTCATGTTTTTCATAATATGAAAACCTCAACAAATTTACAGATATGCCTTGATGTCTGAGAATCATTAGAACATATCGCAGACGATCCACAATTAAACAGAATAGGTACTGAAATGCAGTTCCGGACCAAAAATCATCAATCCAGCCACTTCCAATCCAATCCTGACTAAAGAAACCCTAGTTCTGACCATCCAACAAGCCTCTCCATGGCTAAAATAGATTAAAGCTCTACCAATCTCAACATTGGTATCGATTTCCAATTGAACCTCATCAGTTGAAGGTGCTGACGTTTGAATCTAGCACAGATACATCCAGTCCAGCCTGAGTCACATGCAACAATCCAAGCAGAAATCGAAGCCCAATGTTCTGTTGTCCTTTCAGACGTGGCAGTTCCATTTTGTTTTAAATTGTGTAATAGACAGTTCTCTTTAAAACAGTTTGATTTATTTTCAATATTCTTTTTGGCTAGAACTATTAGTTTTTACTGTGAGAAATTGTGAAGTCATCATCAGTCTGAGGCAAGAAAAGAACTTACTTGGGAGATAGTCCTCACCCAAATTCACAATCACTTGTTTAAAGTCAGTAACATGGGGCGCAAGTTATCTATTTTTCATAAGTCTATTAGGGTCTTGACTGCTAACAGTGGCACGCTCGCACACCAAAGAAAGTTGACTTGTTGACCACCAATGGTTTTCAAGCCAATGGGGAATTTTAGCCTACTATCACAGGAACTAAATCTAAACGGGTGAACAGATACTATTCAAGAAGTCAAACCCAACACAAAGTTAAGAAGAGAGAGTTGACAATTATTTGACTAAACCCATATATTGTTGGGATTGTGTGGTTTAATAAAAGTCATGAAATTGGATGAGCATAATCCTGCATTGGAAAATTCCACGAAAAATCTAGATTATAAAAATTTGTGGCAATAGAACTGAGGTCTTTTGAGATAAAATCTCACACTTGGATGAGTCCATTAGGCCTAACCCATCTTTTGTTGGATCTGGGTAGTTAAGTTGGGGTAATATCGATGACAGGTCATCTTTAGTAGTGGATCGGCCCAATAGACTGATATAAGTGAGATTTTATCTCAAAAGGCCTCAATGCTATTAATAGTGAACTACGAAAAAAATTATTCTAGATTGTTTCACGTTTTTCAATGTAGGATTATACCCATTCACATTTAGGCCTCATTTGATTCATAGGAAGGAGTATTGGGAATGGAAAATCAATTGCTTTCCCATGTTTAGTAAGTCCATGCATGGGAAATGGTTGCATGGCACATGGGAAAGTAGGGGGGAAAGTGAACCCCTCCTCCCCCCTTGGGTTTTGTTTTCTCTCTTCATGTGAAAGTTTGGGAAAATGAGCCAACATTAAATGCATATTTTTCATGACCATTTTGTACCCATTAACAATTTAGAATTACAATATAGCATTAAATGCATTCTTTTTTTTATCTGATTTCATATGGGTATAATTTGAAAATTAAACAAACTTTGTTATACACTCCTATATAAACCAAACATGTGAAAGGAAATAAAGTGGTATTTCCTCGTTACTTTCCCAGCATTACCAAACATGGAAAATGGATTCATTTCCCATTCCTTGGAAAAGACATGAGAAATTATTTTCCATCAAATCTTTTCCGCAAACCAAACGGGGCCTTATGGCTTTTATCAAGCTCACCTTGGTCCATTGTACAACGAGTGGTATCAGTGTTTGATTTGATTGAGGATATCTATGATCAAGGAAGTGGCTCAAGTGAAAATCCTAGCCCAATTGAAGGTGGAGCGGCTCGGAGGAAATTGTTGACGTGAGTTCACCTAGCAAATCAAGGAGATTTATTTCCTAAGTTAATTAGGCAATTTATTTCCTATTTAGTGTAGTTGACATATCCTTGTATAATTAGGAGATATTTCCTATTTACTTGATGTATCTATTTCCTAGTAAAGCACACATTTAAACCTTTAGGGCACTTCCAACACTCCTCTTTTGCTCAGGCAGGACGCCTAGGCCCAGCAATTGGCTCTAGCGCGCAACAACAAGACCGCGCAACTGGTGGGCTCCACAAGCATGGGTAGGCCCAAAGGCAAATCTTGCCTGGGTTTACTGACGTCAGCAAATGAAAAAAAAATTTAGAAAAAATCTATTAAAAAAAAACCAAAAATTTCAGAATTTTTTTTTAATAAATACCTAGTCATATTCTTCACTTCTCACACCAAAATTAATGGTTTAAGTATAAAAAATTGAAAATAAATTAAAGTGAATAGTAATTGCCTTTGTTCTTTCCCTTTAGGTTGGAAACAAAAAAGGCAAGGGCTACCACTATTCATGTAAATAGTAACAAACCTTGCCTGGCCTTTGCCTTGCCCCTGCCCTTTGGGGTGGAGGTGCTCTTATATATACCTTCTTAAGGAGAAGAATAAAATCATCCAAATATTCAAACCATACAATTCTTAGCATGGTATCAGAGCGGCTGATCCTAGGTGAACTCCAAACCCTTACCAAATTCTATTATCAAATTCCTAAACATAAACCCATATCTCAAATTCTTTTATAATAAAGCGCTTTTGTTAGAAGCACTTATGAGCATAAGTACTTCTTAGAGAAGCAGTCCTTAACGAGCCCTACTCCAACTTAAAATTAAAGCACAGCATCTATTATAATAATTTACACCATAAAAAAAAACTACAAAATTAACATGTCCAAGATCCTCAGTCTTGTAGAAATCTTGCATTGTGGCCTTGCAAACTAAATAACAAACATCTTCCAAATTCAGAAACTCAGCACAGACCTGAAGAAGTTAGAAACATGGATATCAGTCTACTCCTCCCCGTCTTTGAATTTGTGTGTACGTGCGCGTGCATGCATGAGAGAGAGAGAGAGAGAGAGAGAGAGAGAGAGAGAGAGCTACTTTTAAGTCTAACTATCTGTGGAGCTAGAAGACTTATAATAATAAGTCTAATTAGCTGATCGCCTCATTTTCAATTCCTGGCTGGTGTCCTTGCTGGTACCTTGCTTCAAACTAGCAGCAATGATCTGATAAAATGACAGGAACTCTAAATGATATTGATAATAATTAAAAAAGGACTGCTAAAAAGTGACAGAATGTTGTCTTCCATAGAAATTCTATTTTTCCAGTCCACAATCACCAAAATAAAGAAACTTACATAAACAGGCTCAGCAGCGATCAATGAACCGGTAACCAAACCACCAAAAACCTTCCCATCATGATGAGACAGAGTAATGTTTAACCTACTATTTTCTCCATCCACATTATTGTTTTCACCATATTCAAATGATCCAGATAGAGAAATAAGTTGATAACTACCCTGCATGAAGGAAGAAAGTAAGGGAAAGAGTTACCCCTTAGTATTAAAAGCTAATATATCACTGGGAAGTAGTAAATTTTATTTGAAAAAATATATTATACATATACAGCCCCTTTCAATTTAGAGATTATTTGACGGACACTCTTTGGGGCCCACTATGAATTTTATTTCAACGATCCGAACAGTCTATTTTTCAAGTCTTCACTCATAGATCATCCTTCTAAAAACTTAGACAAATCGGAAACCATTAAGACATCTAGTTGTGCCCAACAAAATCGATAAACAAGGTGCTTCAAGAAAACACAAAAATAACAATTATTTAATTGAGAGGTCCAATGGATTCAGATTCAAGTTATTTTTTACAGAAATGATCTTTGAATGAATACCTAAAATATAAATGGTTCAGAACATTGAAATATAATGTTGAGCCCTATAAGGTTGTCCCTCAAATAAGGGACCCCTCAACTAAAGACTCTAATATACACATATATATATAAACTATCAAGCAAAGCCCAGAGATTTAGTGTAAAATTGATAGCCATCTTTTCCCAAGAGAATGGTCAGCCTTAATCCACTAACTTTGTTTTGAATTCGAATTATGTCGCAAATATCCCTAAAAAAATCTTGCAACCCATGACCAGTGAAAGAAACAAATTAAAGGAAAGGAATTGCTGAAATGATTTCAGTTCTTAGAAAATCATGCCTTAAAATTCAAAAGACCACCAGAAGAACCAGGTTTGCGTAGAACAACATCTAAAACAGCACCGGTAGCACTAAGAATCCAAAGTGATCGAGAAGTCCTTTGAGATAACGAAAACATCTCACTGACAACATCCTGTAAAAAAAAAAGAACATTTCAACTCTGACAGATAGAATAAAGAACAAAACGATTAAGACTAAGTAAAATCAAAATGACCTTGAGACCTCTCACAGATCTAACATTACCTCACCAGTTTGAACAGTCAGTGCATAATGGTCTAGCTCACCTTCACAAAAAGAAGTTGTAGATGTTAAAAAAGAAGTATGTTAATCTATTTGCTTGCATAAATTAAAAGTACTCTTTGGTCTTCTGCCCTTGAAGATTAGTCTTCATACTGATCATTAAGGTATCCAAGATTCTGTTGAGTTCCTATAGACATATAACAAACTATAAAGGAATGGGATATCTAAAACTTACACAAAATGGGATTTCTTTTGAAGATCATGCAACAAAGTAACTCTATATATGATAATAATTAAACTTATAAAAGTAACTCAACCAAATAGATAGCCATCATATTTGCATCATCACCAACTATATCATCAATACCATATGTCATTAGTGTTCCCATTTTTCTCTTCACACTAATCTCTTCTTCTTCATTGGAGTCTAAGTTGCTTCCGGACTCGCTTTCAATCTGTGAAGTCTGAGGAGTCTGAGGAAAATAGATCATGTCGTTAGGGGGCCCGTCATCAATCTGTGGAATCTGAGGAAAAGAGACCATGTTGTTTTGCTCTTCCTTAAGTTCAATACGTTCTGCAGACAAAGAATCAACAAGGAAAGTTATCAAAGATGATAAGGAGATAGGTTTGTGTGCATATAAACAAATAATAGTTTGAATAATATAGTTTGGTTTGTAAAGACGCCATAAGAGTGTTTAGTTTTTTACTATAATGGAGGAGAACTCTAGTCCCATGACTAGATGATGGGGGCGAGATTGTTACCATAACCACGCCATATCACTTGCTTCATCATAGGAGGTCTTCTTTGTGAGTTCATGAATTGTGTTTGGGATGGTACACGATATAGGATGGTGATTTTAATTTTGTTATTGTTGGAGTGAAGGATTTGTTTGTGTAAGGATGACTCCTTTGGGGTTATGAGTTAACTAAGTCACTAGTTGAGAAGGCAACATTGTTGAGAAAAAAGGGAATAGGTGTGGGGGTCGTTGGGAGAAATTTTTATATCTTCCGGATACACCACGTGGATGGTGTATCATCCAATAAACATAAGACATGTGGAATTATTGTCCAACTTATTGCATTTCTTTTTATGACATGTGGCGGGCTGCATTGGAAATATTCCATATGTCCTCCGTCTATTGGATGGTACACCAATCACGTGGTGTACCTGGAACACTCAAAAATTACTCGGGTGGTTGGGATGTGAGCCAGTTGGCAAGCTGTGATTGGTGTGGAGAACAGTAGTAATTAATGTGCTAACGTTAACGAAACGGAAGGGTTGTAAAAGGCTATGCTTTTAGGAATAGAGAAGAATCGCTGAGTGGCCAAGGCAGGAAAATGCTATGCTTCAAGGCTGTAAAAGGCCTACGAGGCTTAGGTACCTGGCCTCACTTTTGTGTTGCAATTTTTTTATGCAAGGCTCGACCAAAATAAAAGTAAAACCAATGAGTGCAAACACGTAATAACAATAAATAAAACAACAGTGCTTCAATTATTGGAGAAAATGGGTGATCTTCATTATCCAAAAGGGTCGCAGTACATGAATCCACCAAGCCTCTCCCCTCCTTGGACAACAGGAAGAAGTCAGGAAGGTGTGCAAACAAAACGAAAAGAATATGGAGATTGCCTATACCAAACATTAAAAGTCGAGTGCCCTAGGTGTAGTACATCTTATTGTGCTTGGTGTTCTATGGGTGTAATGCATAGGATTGAATTGAATTGGATAACTTCACTAGATTTAAAGTATATTGAAAGTATATTGAAGATGTAAATGAATATATAGGTGAATCATTTTTCATTTTGAGAGAATTAAAAGGAATAAGTTATAAGATGTTGATATCCGTACCATTTTGTAGGGGATTAGATGAGATAAATCTTCTTCATGAGTAATTCATCTTATACCTTCAACTTAGAAAACATTTCTTCAATTCTTCATTCAACATATCTTAAATCTAGTGAGTTATCCAATCGAACTAATCCTAGACACCAAATTATCCCTTAGTTCATTAGAAAACATTATATTAAGCATTGTTATTGACATGCATGCATGATTGCATCATTAAAGAAAAACAATTGGCTACCTATTGACTGAAAGAGTAGAAGGAATAACCCATTATTTTCGAAGTTAAGAACTGAACTTCAAAACAAAGGTTTAATGTTCGACTACAAAGAGCCAAACATAGTCAACCCTTGCATCTAAATATATGTTGCGCCTAAAAGCATCATAGATCTATTCAATTCCTTGCAGCCAAACATAGATTGGGCCTAGCACAGAAAGAAAAACCTAAAACGAAGCAAATCCAAAAGCCCACATAATAATATTTCTTCTATATCTCAAAATAATTTTCTATAGTCGCATAAGAAAAAAAAAACAATTCTCTATAGTTCATGACTAAATAATAAAGCACCAAAGAAAAACGAAACATGTTATCTAAATTCATAAATAAATTAAAAGTAGTGTTTAATGTTAACATACCTTTTAATCTACGATAAATGAAACGGCGTATGAACTTTCAGTGTAGGTACTAGTCAAATAGTAGAATGGCTTTACGATCTTGAGAGAAAATATAGTGAGGATTTTGAGAATAAAGAATAGATGGAGGAAGAGATATAGGCGAGTTCTCTTTTTCTTTTTCTTTTTTTCTTTTTTTGCGCAAAAGATATAGGTGAGTTCTTGGGGAGTAGAAGAGTGTTTGGTTCGTGGACATTAGAACTAGTGAACCAAGGGTATTACAGTAATATTGAAGATTATTAAGATAAGATTGATATTGTTTTTCCAAAATTAGTGAAAGTGGGAAATGAAGTAGGTGGCGAATAAGCAAGTGGATAGCAACAATGGCAGATCCAGAATTTGAAAGTAACCCACAAAACCATTGAATTCAACAACTTTCCTAAAATCAAAGTCGTAATTAATTTCAATCCCCAAATTATATATCATCCCTAAGTTAAATCCTAGAATTCTCAATTTCAAATTAAAATTAAAATTAAAGATGCATGCATGTATTTTAGGAGAAACCCAAAAGGAGAAGCTAAAAAAAGAAGGGTGAACTTAGGAGACATTTGCTGCAAAGAGGTAGAAAATAGGAGAGGAGAGATCGGCTGTGCAGCTAAGAAAAGAAGGCTATACTTTCTTCTTTTTTTAAATTAGAAAAACCCGGGTATAGCCGGGCGGCTATACTATTTCTTTTTAAAAAAATAACCCGCCTGCTATTAGGAGTACACATGTCCAAAACTGTATAGCCGCGCGGCTAGACTATTTTTTTCTCATGAAGTATAGCCGCAGAGCTATATTATTTATAAAAAAAACATTTAAAAAAAACCGAGTATAGCCAGGCGCTTATATTTTTTTTAAAGGGACACACCTAGCACTTAAGGCGCCCATGTGTAAAAAAAATTAAAAAAACCGCTTATAGCCAACCGGCTCTACTATTTACTATAAAAAAAACAATTACCCGCCTAGAGCTTAGGAGCCCACATGTTGAAAATGTATAGCCGGTTTTTTACACGAAAATTAAAAAACCGTATAGCCGTGCGGCGATACTACTTATAAATAAATAAAAATAAATATATAAAAATAAAAATAAAAAGAAAAAGGGCCCACCTAGCAATTAGTAGCCCACGTATCAAAAACAGTATAGCCGGGCGGTAATACTAATTTTTTTTAACATTAAAAACATAGTATAGCCGCGCGGCTATACTATTTTATAAAAACATTAGAAAAAACCGGCTATACTATTTTAAGGAAAAAAAAAAGAGGACCCGACTAGCGATTAGGAGCCCATGTGTCAAAAACAGTATAGCCAAGCGGCTATACTATTTATAAATTAAAAAAAAGGACCCGTCTAGTGATTAGGAGCCCATGTGTCAAAAAACGTATAGCCGGGCGGCTAGACTATTTGTTTTAAAAACATTAAAAACATAGTATAGCCGGGCGGCTATACTATTTTGAAAAACTAGAATGCGTATACCCGCGTGGCTATACTATTTTTAAAATAAAAAAACTGTAGTGTAACCACTCAGAAAAATTTTGGCAAATTATTACTTAAAAGTTCACCCACTATATTACATTTTAATATAATTTATTTATATTTTTTAATATATATTATTTTTATTCAATAATATGTGTATAATATTTGAATTTTGTGTGTCTTATTGAAGATTTTGTAAAAAAATATATGTATTAAACATGAAAAATACATACGCACATATATTGTACATTTGCTTTTTAATAACATGAATTTTACCGAGCCTTTAAGATGTGTATAGAAGACAGATATATTATTGAAAAATACGTACGTACATGTATAATATAGTATTAAAGGTGAAGGTGCTAAATTCTTTATACAGGTAATAACACTGGAAGAGTAAAAAATCAAACTACTCTTATTGATAAACAAAAATCGGGGAAAAAAATTAAAAGAAAAAAAGGATCCTAGTATATATGTAAAGAATATAGGCGCGCGGGTATATTATTTATAAAATAACAGAAAGGACCCGCCTAGCTATTAGGAGTCCAAGTGTCAAAAACAGTATAGACGCACGACTAGACGATTTTTTTTTTTCTCAAAAAGCCATAGTATAGCCGCGCAGCTAGACTAAAAAAATAAAGAAAAGAACGAGTATAGCCGACTGGCTATACTATTTTTTTTTGTTTTTTTAAAAAAAGTACCCGCCTAGCGCCTAGCGCCTAGCACCTAAGCGCCCATGTGTAAAAAGCGTATAGCCGTCCGGCTACATGCCTAGCGATTTGGAGCCCACGTGTCAAAAACGTATGGCCGACTGGCTATACTATTTATAAAAAATAAATATAAATAAAAAAGGGAGGATTCGCTATGCGATTAGTAGCCCACACAATTTTTTTTTTCCAAAAAACCGTATTTTAGACGCACGGCTATACGCTTTTTTTAAATGAAGACCCACCTAGCGCCTAGGCGCCCACATGTTAAAAATATGAGTAATGCTATTTGGACACACAACATTGACACACTTAGTTGATACCCGCTAATGTGTCAATGTATCATTCGTTGAACAGAAAACGAGGAGAAAAGAAGAGCAAATGATACATTGACACATCAGCGGGTGTCACTAAGTGTGTCAATGTTGTGTGTCCAAATAGCATTACTCATATTTTTAACATGTGGGCGCCTAGGCGCTAGGTGGGTCTTCATTTAAAAAAAGCGTATAGCCGTGCGTCTAAAATACGGTTTTTTGGAAAAAAAAAATTGTGTGGGCTACTAAAGGCGAGGCGACGAGCGAGGAGGTTTGGTTTGGATCTCTAGATCCAGATAGAGAAGTTGGTGTAAGACAGATGCAGAAAGGAGAAGAAGAAGAGAAGAGTCAAAAATCGATGGAAGAAAAAAAAGAGGAGAGAGCAAGAGATGGAAGAGACACGGCGCAAGAGAAGAAATGTGTTAGGGTTTCAAACCTATATATATATATATTAAATACAGTTGGATGGAAAATTATTAAATACATTCATTATGCATTAATAACATGGGAGCTTCACTAATATACCCAAAATGGGGGCTGAAATTTAAAAAAAAAAAAACCCATATGGAAAACACTTTATAAACACACCCAAAACCCATTTATTAAATAACAAATTAGTGTTGAAGTTCCA